GAGCCTTTTATCTTCCTAGATCAGCCAAAATGAAGAGACTCAACTGAAGTTCATTGCAGCTGTTCAAGGTAATAAACTGCTGTATATTTTTTTTGTTCATATGATGATATGCCCCCTCGTTTGTGTCTCCACCTTATCATGGTGAGGGGGTTTGAGTATGCCAAGGACCCTGAGAGCTATACCAGCGGTAGCGTAGCTACTGGCAGGGCCTCCCTTGCTGGACAGGTCAAAGGGTAGGCATCAGACGAAGAGAAACACCAAAAACCAAAAACTGATGCCGGAAGCAGTGATGTACTGCGATGTGGAAAGCAAATGGAAAAACTACATTATCACTTTTCCTGGATTAAGTGGAGGAACTGTTTTGGGAGAGACTGTGGACCTGTTGTCTGACAAATTACTGATGAATGAATGATGATATGCCGCAGTTACTAAAAATTTCATTATCAGTAGTTTCTTTATGTACTTCCACTGAAATTAAGCAGATTACCACAGCGATGGCTTCCATGGTTTTGCCAGGTCCCTCCTGACCAATGTTTTAAATGGTCTATAATTGTTTTCTTCTGAGTCCTTCTCTTATCTCCACATACCTGCATTTGAAATAGTATAATTAAATAATCTAAGAATCTGATGTTTTACTGGCAGCCACACTGCATCTTACCGCAACTTCTGGTTCCATAACAGTGATTGTGTCATCTTCAACGAAGTAAATGATGTTTACTTGGCGAATACGGTAGTGTTCAAGTGGAGACTGAGGCACAGATTGTTTGAAGAATGCTCTGAATGTGAGGCGTAGCCTGTCACATAATACATAGTGGGGGACAAAGAGAGAGACTGGGCATTTTTTCACGCAACCATATGTTAGTGATGGATCGAACCTGGAAGAAGAGCCAGAGCTGTAATGCTCAGAAGCTATCTGATGTTGTGTAAGTACAGAGTGCGTCAGAAAGAATGGATGGATTTCACAGGGCAATAAAATTGGTAAGGCTTCATCAAATCCAAATTTTATTGTTACCATCAGATTCGCCAATACATGCAGTTTATTTGTGGAATACAATATCATCCATATGATATCCTTGGCTTCTGATACAGACATCGAGGCGTTTTCTGAAGTTATTCTTCACTCTCGAGGTCATATCTGGTGGAATCGCCGCGATTTCTTCTCGAATCGCTGTCTTTAGCTCGTCCAGTGTATGTGGTCGATGTTTATAAACTTCCGCCTTCAAATGGCCCCAAAGGAAGAAATCACAGGGCTCAAGATCGGGTGAACATGCCGACCAAGGAATGTCACTGTGATTCAAGATGACGTTAGGTTCAACTTAGGTTGAACCTGTGGCATGAAATGAAGCCACCCACCGCAAAATTGTGTTGTGAGTAGGGATCCTATCGCATAATGAATGCTGAAGGCTCGTTGAGTAGCGATCACAGACTCTCTGTTTTTCAAAAACGTCTCTACAATGAATGCACGCTGTGCACCCGACCACTCCATGTTACCAACTGAAACTGCATTCTCCCACCGACCAATCGATCGGCCCCCCCCACTCTACGCCTCCCCCCGTCGCGGCGTAACAGGCACTTGAAATCCAACCATCCTTTCTGACGCACCCTGTATATGTTGTTAATAAAAACAGCACATTCAGACACACTTAATGTGTATTCTCATGCTGAAATTGTTTGCTGTTTTGTTTACTGAATGAAAACCATGGGGGAAGAAGGATACATTGGTGTGGGATATATTAAGGTTCTCTTCTGACAGTCACATGAACACAATAAGAACAAATAATTCATGCCTTGGCTAGGATAGCCAGCTCCAGATGCAATTCAGATTGGGAAAGTTTACTATGAAGTAGGAACACTTATAATTATGCTACATGTTTGTAAGACCATCTTTGTTTCATGTTGTAGTATGTCAGTTTTGTTAAGTGTGTAATCAGACCTAGAATGTGTTATCAGTTTCTGAAGTGGTACAATGGCTAGATTTTGCATTGTCAATAATGTCTTCCCTCCTCTCTTGCATGTTTAACACACAAAACTTTGTGATATATTTATTGTTATCTCTACATAAACTTGCTTTGACATTCTGTACGTATCGGTGGCATTTTTATCCAGTTTTGCCATAAACTGGCTCTCTGGTTTAATGGCTTTTTCCACGCGAGTTTGACAAACAAAACAATGCATCAATAAAATATTTGCTGCAACCATAGAACAAACTGAATCTCAGTTACTGTGTTACATAAAAATGTTGAATCATCTTGTTATATGATTAGCACATGTCAGCTTATAGTATCACCAGCAAGTGTGTAGAAATGTCAGTATGTTTACTCAATATCTGGTAAATTTAACCACTTAAGCACAGTGGTAACCATATGTACCACCTGCTTTAATATCTCATTTTTTCCACACTGTATAAGTTTCATCTGGTTCTCAGAGTGAAAAACAGTTCTTTCCTTAAAACTGTATTAACTGGTTGGTCTTTGCATTGGGGATCCAGCATTTTTCCTGTCAGGTATGAACAAATTTTTAAATGTTTAGAACACATTTACGCTTCAAAAAGTTAAGAGATTTACAGCTGGGAAAGAGATGCAATGCTTAATGTGACTTCCTTAGGGATCTCATGATCCATTAGGACTGAGCAATTATAAAGGTGGTTATAGATACTAATAGTTAAAAAATGTTATCATTCTTAAATTATAAACGTTGCTTTGTATCAATAAAGCCATTATATCAATTCCTTCAGCCCTTTCATGGCACCCATTCAATGAAAAATACAAAATGTTGGGAAATACATTGATGAGTATAGTAATAATAAAATTTTGCTTCATCATTATCAAATGAATATGAGTTCTTACATAAATGGGTCTACAGAATGAAAATGTGCTGTCCCTTCTACATCAAGTGGTCTTCTGCCAATGCCAATATTTGCTGTACGTGAATAACAAAATCCATTCCTGAAGTCATATTGATGAGAGAGGTGAAAATCTGTGATCTGTAAAACAGAAAATACATACATTATTTATTTATTTATTCCTGGATTACTTAATGACACCCACAACAACTTATTTTATATAGCTTTGAATGATAAGATGATTAGTGAATAATCTGTTGTGAAGTACACAGAAGGAAGAAACTTCAGCCTAATTTTAGGTAATATCCCAGTGAACTGCTCCAGACTGCTAATGGGGTAAGGAGGCTGTTATTCTAATGAAAATTTTCTCTGGGACCCACTCTGGAGATAGCAGGTTGCAGTTTCCCTTACAACAGGAATGTTACTCACCTCCTGGTGCTTACTGGCACATAGAATTAAAATATAAACCATTTATAAACATTTAACTGCTATGTGGGATAATTTTTTCCCATAAATGAGAGTTGTATCTTATGGGATATAATACCATGTAGCCTGGTGAAAGCTGCTTGCTCCCTGCTTCATGCTAGTTTCTTGCTTGGCTGACACTTCAACCCTGAAGGTAACATGCTCCTTCAAAATTTCAAATGACTTATCACTGGACTGCACGCCCTTTTATTCCAGAAGATAGAACTCTTCATAACCTCTGCTGTGAGGACCTCAAATCCTCTGTATAACAATGGTTAAGAGAACACTAAATGTCAATAATTTTAAGACATAGGTGGAGGTGAAGGTAGCTAAATACTGTTCCATGAATGCATACACAGGACATGGTCTTACATTTCTGCACAACTGATAGGCATACTGGACAAAGATTGGTGGTCTACTTCACCTTGCAGCCAACTGTAACTGTCAGCAGGAGCTCTGGTACTTAATCATAAAAACTCTGGTATTAAACATTGCACAGTATCGTGGTAGCATAGTTGGTTGAGGCACTATGCTACAAGCCAGAAGGTCATGGGATTGAATCGTGATGAGGTCACTGGACTTTTCAATTCACTTAATCCTTCCAGCAGCACTATGGCCCTGGGGTCGACTCAGCCTCTAACAGAAATGATTACCAGGAATATTCCTGGCGGATAAAGGGCAGCTGGCACATAAGGCTGACAACCTCACTGCCATCTGTGAGCCGAGTGTCAAGAAAATGTGGGAGCCTCGACGTCTCACAACCCTATGGGTCTGCACGTCCTGTTACAAGGACACCTTTACTTTACAGTATTGTATGACCATTTTCATTGGTATCTGAGGGCAAGTGGGACTGACCATTAGCATCAGCAGGGAAGGCCTAGGGATCTACTGTCCCCTTGATTTAAAATCAAACTTCAGGAAAAGAAGGAAGTGTACCAAATATGTATTATTAATAATAGAAATTAAAAATAGTTAAAAATTACTCTATCCTGAAGACTAGAATGTGATCATTAATAATGGTCTAAAATTGCGTTTTAAGTTAATTTTCTGGCTGTTCCCCCTCCCCCAAATATTCTGTCAGTGCCTGTGGGCATAAACCTCAAAATTAATAGATATACAGCAGTTCCCCATATAAATTTAGTAAATTTGCATAAAAGCAAAAGGCCCACAATCAACAACATAAAATGTTAAGTTGTTGTTCCAGTATTAACCTTCACTTACCTATCTTATTTATTTGTGCAGTTTTATGTGTACCTCATTATGTTTTATTTAATGAAGTTGTCAGCAGCTCAGATTACATAGTGCTGAAAGATGGGGTGAGGAGTGAATAATGATTTGGAAGTAGTGTGAAAGGCAGTGATCATGGCCAGATTTGAGGTGCTATCCTGCCATTTGCTTGAGAGACTAGGAAAACAATGGATGATTTCATTCAGGATAGCTGGTCACCAATTTAAGATCTAGATCTGTCTGTTCCAAGACATGAAACAAGATTAGTATCACTTAGACTGCACCATTCAGCATTAATCTATATACGTCTTATGAATGAAGTGAAATTAAAGAAATGTGCAGAGTTCTAGTGAGCATATGAACATAAGTGGTTGCTGGTAACCGTCGAAAGAACTGAGCTGCCGGGCTGGTATGTCAGTGATTATACTGAAAGAAGTATGACAGGCTTTGCTGGACCCCTGGCCTTAATCATTCCTTCACATTGCACCGCAATCAAAGCACATGCTTTTAATGTATAGACCTTATCAATGGCTGCTGTTTCCCCATTTGCATGAATCTCTCTAGCTCGACAAATCTGGACCTTTTGAAATGTTTTAAAATCCTGCAAAGAGTAGCTGAACAATTTATGTCAGTCATTTACCTCAGTGTTCAGAAGTGTCGAGTGGGTTTCCTGCCTCTAACATCATAGGTGCCTTACTGCATCGGGGCAATAACAGCAATGTGTGCTATTCTAGCAATTCCTCACCACTGCATTCATGCCAAGTATTGCTCAATGCAGTATTTGGTTTAAATTTCTGTGGCTTTATATTTTTATACACAGAATAAATCATTTCATGGGAAAGAGTGGGTATTCCTGTCAACAATACTGTGGTCATCAATATGGACTTATATTATCATGATCATAACACCTCAAGGGGAAATAATAAACTGTTAGTTGCTTTAATCAGGATAGTGGGCTATTCTAGAATTTGTATTATTTTTAAACGTGTTATTTCGTGTTTTATGTGTCTTGGATATATACATTAAGAATTTGATGAATGGCAACAGTGGCCATTATGCCCCTAGCCTCGATTTTCTCATATGGCCTTTGTCTTGCCAACGATCGTATTTTCGAGGAACATGATGTGCAGTTGGCGAATGATTGCTGTATTATGTGTCATCTCCACCTAACAATTGGTAAAAAGGTAAAGTTGTCCCTGTGCTTAACTAATTAAGTACTATGCCATGAAGATGAGTTGGGGAGTGGATGTATAGACCCACGTTTTCTTGACCTTAGTACTAGCTGGGCTAGTTGGAGGTAAGTGATCAGCTTCTCAACATAGCTGCTTTACTCCCGGTACCCATTTGGTGTGAGGCTGGGTGGGCCCCAGAGCCGGTCTGGATGACCTGGAGAAGTGAAAATTCTTGCCCCCACCAGGACTCGAACTCTGACCCTTTGGTTTTCCAGCCCATAGCCAGTCGCTATACCGACTGCGCTATCCCAGCTCTTCCACCGTACACTTGGTCAACTTAAAATTGTCAGTAAATAAATCAGACATTAAGTACACTGGTATTTAGGCCGTTGCCCCCTCCCCCTAATGAAGCCAGTACTGCCTCTTCTGGTCGAGTATATTATTATACATTAAGTATGGACAAACAGTTAATTTACAGAACTAGCTGTCTAAACAACAAATATCGTTACTAAATAAGTTCCACCATGAACCAATTCAAATATAAGGCAAGTATATGGAATGCAGTACCAACCGTTGGGTCCCTAAAATAGTAGCCAGGTAAGAGAGGTAACCCTTCCGTTTTAAACATATTTTCTTCTTTCAAAAGTGAATTACTTCCTCTGTTCTGTTTAGTGAAACACGATATATTTTTTACTTGCTAGGCAACAATTAAATGTCCATGCAACAACTTTGTAGTGTGGCGTGCCGTTTGAATAATTGGTTGCCTAGCAACATATACTACAGTAGGCTGTCTATAAAGAGGGAGGTCCGTAATGATGTATATTGAATGGCATAAAATGTTTTTCTTGATTCGTAAGCTATTACGTTAAATATGCAGAGGTTATACATTGCGAAAGCCATAGTTCTTCACCATCATATTTCTGGCATGTTTTCAGCGTTTTATGTATAACAGTTGTAAAAATGAGGACAAGAATGCATAGCTGAAACGACTGTGATGGTGTTCTGTTTGTCTGAATTATACTGCCACCTATAGGATACTCTTTATAGCATTGGTAACATGTCTGCCAACAAACAGGACAATGGCGCGATATTTCGAATTTTTATCTCAGTTTTACGGTTTTCATTTGACTCACCTACGTATATAGTGTGACACGTTGCGCAACGGAGGACCCCTACCTCCCCAGCGGTACGTGGCGGTAATGTAGCGCTCCCTCCTCCCCCCTCCGCGGTGACGTAAGACGGCGCGAGATAACAGCGTTGCAAGTGAGAGTCAGTGTGTTATCAACAGTTCACCCCTCAGCAGCCTGAGAGTCGAGTTGGAATATAGCAGCCGTCGCGGGAAGAAGAACCGGACGTGAAGAGCGTCAAGAGCGTCTGGAAGACGTGTTTCTTATTGAAAGTTACTTGATTTTTTGGATTTAAATAATTGTGGTCGTTTAATTTTTTATTTCACTTCCAGAATGGAGACGAAACCTCAGAAAATGCCCAAAGTGGCAAATGTAAAAAACAAAGCTCCAGCAGAAGTCCAGATCACTGCTGAACAACTTCTGAGAGAAGCCAAAGAACGAGATCTTGAAATCTTGCCACCTCCTCCAAAACAAAAAATCTCTGATCCAGATGAACTTGCTGATTACCAGCATAGGAAAAGAAAAGCCTTTGAGGACAGCCTCAGGAAAAATCGTACAGTTATTAGCAACTGGATTAAATATGCACAATGAGAGGAAAGTCAAAAGGAAGTCCAAAGGGCACGGTCCATATATGAGAGAGCTTTGGATGTTGATCATCGCAACATCATATTATGGCTGAGATACGCTGAAATGGAGGTGAGGAACCGACAAGTTAACCACGCTCGTAATCTATGGGATCGAGCTGTAACTGTTCTTCCACGAGCCAATGAGTT